TTTCCCCCCCTTTTAAACTACAGAATCTGTTGCAATCTGAAGATTTTGTACTGACAGTTCAGTAAGTATATTACTTTATTCTATATCTGAGCTATCACTTCCATAATTTGATCATAGTGCCACGCATGTGAACGTAAACATTGTGAAATGCGCTGTTTCTATTTTCCAACTATAATGCGGTATAAGACTCCTCTTCTATTTCTGTAAGGCAGTCTTTCTCAACCAGTGTTGGGTGTAACCCAAGGGTTCCTCCAAATGTTGCTTCAGGGGTTCCTTGAGGAGAGAACAGAGGCAAATTGATCTACATACACTGACCACCAATGTATAGGGCACTACATATTGTAATGTTTGTTTCTGGTCATTTTTTATTTGCTTACAGCAAAATGGCACCCATACACACACTTCCCTGGCATATGGTAAGCTCCTTTTGGTACCTGACGTCTGCTTGGTCTCCCACTCATGGGAGAGCCCCCACTAATGTTTTGCCCAGTAGATCTCATTTCATGATTATTACTGCGTAGAATTGTCAAAGATTTGGACGGTACATTCTCTTCTTGATTTCTATTTAAACAGCAACCTACTGATCACACTAATGAACTGTAAACTGTAGTATACATTTTTTTTTTTTTGTGGGGGTTTCTTGTGACCTGAGGGCTGTTTCCAAGGATTACACCATGGTAACAGTTTGAGAAAGACTGCTGTAGTGTTTGTCATCTGTTTTAAAGAAGTTTGACATCTTTATAGGATAAAAGACAAACAGCTGAAATAATAATGGGGTTTCTTACATTACAACAGGTTTTTCTTGCTGTGCTTTGGGATTTCGTCCTATAGCAGTGTTGTGAAATGACCATGTATCTAGGTGTTTTTTTACAAACTGTTTGCAAAGTTCAGTAATCTATGGTGGCTGATCACTGATCATATTACTGTACACTGTTGTACTAGTTCTAAACTGCTGCTGGGTATGGGTCACTGCACTTTGCACTGCCTTTGTTCTATGAGTTGCCTTTTCATACAATGCTCTATGCAGCATAGGCATTTATCTTTTTAAAAACCAAATAACACTAAAAAAGCTCTTAACAGAACAATGCACTATGAACGCCAGAATAAAGGAAGATGAAACCTGTCCTGTCGGGATAAAAATTATCAGAGTTGCAATTTCTAGCTTGTTTTAAAGAAGCAGCCATCAGGCTGGTCATCCCTAGTCTTACTTCACTACATAATTCATTAACCCCATCCTATCCAATCCTGGCATCCCTTTTAATATTCTGTATGCCCAGGGGAAGGAAATGATTGGCAATCATATGACCACTATAAATGGCTGTTACATGTTTCGGGAGCTGTTCCTGCTGGCTATCTGATGTTAGCAGGACCACCGAGAGCTGTCTTTGACAGCTCGGTCTCTGTGCTGAGAGCATGCAGTGAGTACACTCTCAGCATAGAAACATGGGCCACTTGGGGACTCATGTGGGTGTTAAAGCCAACCCCTTTGCAGCTGCACATGTATTTACTCAGGCACTAGGTTAAGCAATAGCAAGCATGAAAGTAGGGATTCCAGATTTCACTGACTTCATTTTGTTCCAGGGCAGGGTCTCTGTAAGAATGGGTGAAATTGAGGGTGTTTGATTATAAAGCCTGCTTTTTAAAAAATAAGTCAATACCCATAATTAACTCATGATTGCCTTTAATATCCACTTGTGTGCAATCTATAATACTAATATTTTGTTTTTTCGTGGATGTTGGCAAGGTGAATTGTCAGCTTATTTCTGACCCTCTTAGCTCCTTATGCAGCCAAGAACAGAGAGCTGGAGAAGGTGAAATAGCAGTACACTTAACTTCCCAGTGAAAAACTGTGCAGGGGGGTTGTGTCAGGACAAGTCTGATCATTGGAGGAGAGCACAGTAAGTTCCCAGCATAGCTAGAGAACTGACCAGACAAGTCTGATCATTGGAGGAGAGCACATGGAGTTCCCAGCATAGCTAGAGAACTGACCAGTCTGGTCAGTTTTTTAATAGGAAAGCAGAGGGAGTGGCAGGAACACCAAGGATTCATACAAAGAGAGAAGGATCATTTTTCAGACAAGTGCATGGTACAGCAGGCACATATGAGGAATGTTAAATCTTGGGTTTACATACTACTTTAGTGTTTTTTGTAAGTAGAAGAATATTTACAAGTTGGTACATGTGCTGCATGTTTGTTTCTTCAGCTATCACAGACAATTGCAGCAAACTAGGTTGTTTTGCAGTTATTCCATGTAGCTGTATCCCATATAGACAGTCGTGCATTTGTAGTAATTATGAGACTGATTTGAAGATATGAAACCCCATGTAGTAGAGTGTTTGTTTATATTCCGAGGTATGGCTTGCATTTAACAGGCTTAGTTCAGATGTAATGCATGGTCACTATGGGTGTTGAGCTTCTACTAATCCACTAGCTATCCTTTGCTGACTGACCTCTGTCCTAACTGGGTGGGATTCCAGCCCTTCGTGTGCTTTTGGTGGTGTTGTGTTTTTTAGCTTTTGTGTGTGTGTTTTTTTTTTTTTTTTTTTTTTTTTCAAAGTTTCTTTTTTAATTTATGTATTGGGATGACTAGCATAACCAGATCATAATGTTGTTGTGTTTTTTTTCTTGTTGCAACACACATTATTTGCTACCTACCAGGAGTGTATCTGTATGCCTTGAACTTTTTGTTTGTGCCTCATTAGTTAATCTGTGGGGTTTTTTTTTGTTCCATGTGGTGGTGGGAAAACCAAATCCTCTTTTTTTTTTTTTTTTTTTTTTTTTTTTTTTTTTTTTCTTTCTTTTTTTATAACCAGTGTGGTGCATTTAATTCTTAGATATAGTATAATGTAGTCTTTATGAAAACGTCTATGCAGAGGACCTATAAGAGGTACAAATGTGAGAGCCCTTCATATGATCCAACTGACTTTGGGGCTTTAAGGTCAGTCAATGTTTGATTCGGACTTCCTCTGGTTCTGACTCACAAATAGTTGATCCAATGGATTGATGTATTTGGCATACTCATCGTTTTGTATTGAGAATACTGAACTCCGACTACACAGTTTTCAGCTAATGAGGTTCTTTTACATTGTTAATCATAGCTTTTGATTTACATTGTGAGCAAGAAGTCATTCTGAAAGTTGGATGGTTGCTCAGTGAACAATGAAGTCTGTTTCGACCCCATGGCTCACTTTGTCCCTTTTTATCCCATTAGCGAAGCCTGCTTATATACGTGTAGATTTCTGTAAAATGTATCACCACTTTCTGTGCTCAAAAGTACTGGAGATTTGTCCAGACGTGGGAGTGAATCACAAGTAAACATCTGCAAGGAAGAGACAGGACATATTTACACACTATGGGGAAAAACTACATCTGCTATCCAGTGTGGGATTAGTTCACATGCATGCACAGGAGTGGCCTATTAACCCTGTCAATACAGGAGCAAAGCAACTGTAGGCAGACCTTACCTTGGTTTGTTCATGTACCAAAAGTATGAGGAAGGCTTCTAACAACTTCCATTGTATATTACTACCTTTACTAAGGGAAATGCATGTTAACCGCAGAGCGTTTTTTTTTAACTGAGATTTTAACAATTTTTTTCATGATACATTTTTTGTTAGGAATAGATTCTAACCCCTGTGTGCAAAAACACTTGAAGGCATCTGTGTAAGGATTGTCTGCAAAGGGAGGTTGTTTTAGATCTTTTGTACAGATAATTGCCCAGTGATTAGAGCACAACCTTTAAGGCATAAGCTGGCTGTACACCATTAAGCCAGCCATAGATGGAGCAAGTTTTCTTTCCTGCAGATATGGATCCATTGAGTTCTCCCAGCTGGGGGCGGGGGAGCAGTTGCAACCAGGAGAACGCCGGTATTACTGCTAGCGATTATAATAGCCGCTAGCAATAATCGCATGTAAAATCCGACAGGCTGGTTGTACCCAAATGAATCGATCAACTTGGCTACATTCAGCCTGCCCGTACGTGGTTGAAATCTCAACTGGTCCCTGCTAAAACAAACATTTTGTACAAATGTTCAGTACATTCGACTAGACAAATTTCACTTGCTTTTAACATTAGCTTTGTTGTAGTACATTGACTTTAACCTGAATGGAAAACCACATTCACTGTTCTAAAATCATTTGAGAAGAATGTTTGTTTTTTATTCTGCTACTTTATTTTTACTTTGTTACTGGGGTCAAAGTGACCTTTGTTTTTGACCAATGAAGAGAAAACTCAGAGAGAATGTTCTTAAAATGAAAATGTTCTAACAAAATTCCACTAGTTTATACATAGATCTAAACTGGCTAGGTCAGAGGATGAGATTGTTGACTGTACACTTTATTGGCCTTGTTGAGTTTAAGGTCAAAGATCTGTTTTTCTAGCTGAATTAGTCACCATGGATGACCAAATGGAAACGAGATATGCTTCATCTGTATATGGGTTACTTAAGGCACCACATTGGTTAAACTTGAGTTTTAAATTTCTGCATTTAAGTTGGAATTTAGAATAAATATTTGGCAATTTTGTCAATATTTGTCCCTTCTCTGAAAGTCTGGCTTCATCTTCTTTACCTCCTCCCACTATTTACAGGAGCTTCTAAAGAAACAAATGGGAAGTGGGACAGCACCATCAAGTGTAAATATGGGCAAAGCATTGCTGCAGAGACAGCTGCTGCTAGTTTTATAGGAGCATATCCTGGTTATGTTGGCATCCCTCACCTCTTCTGTTTATATGTTTTAATGGACACCGAGGTTTCACTTGCTGGTTTACTAACTTCTTCCCTCTTCTTTTCTGCTTTCTGGCTGGCTGCAGAGTCTCACAATCCTTGGCTTCCAAAGGTTAACAGTAGTCTTACTGTTCATGCACAGTGATACGTAATGCTTTTGTTCTTGTACTGTTGCCTTGGGTAACAACTGCTGCCCCTGCTTTACACGGCTGCCTTAAGAGCCCAAAGAATATTCTTTTGAGAAAAGCACAGCGCCAGTACTTTAATACCCTCACCATGAAGCTTAAAGCAGAAGTGTACACCTTTGTCTTGCTGCCTGTCTACCTGTTAATGTTTGTGTACAGCACTCTTACATTTCTACCATGGTATTTTCTCACCAACGCAAAGAAGAGAAAGGCTATGGCGAAAAGGATAAAAGCTAAACCTGTCTCGGATGTACCCGGAAGCCCTTATCGGGCTGTCAGCCACTTTGATTCACTGGCCACCATAGACATTCCAGGAGCAGACACTCTAGACAAACTTTTTCAACATGCTGCGGCCAAGTTTGGCACGAAAGACTGTCTGGGCACACGAGAGCTGCTGAGTGAGGAAAACGAGAAGCAACCAAATGGCAAAGTCTTCAAGAAGGTAGTTCTCCTTAACTGTGGTTTTTTTTTTTTTTTTTTTTCTTTCTTAAATGTCCTAATTATGTGGTGGCCCCAAAATGTCAACAGCACTAATTGCAACATAAGAAAATACTGTATGTTATCTGTCTCTTGAAGATACAAGTGACAATTTATTTTGTGTATGTACAATAAATCCGGCATCTGGAATTTGCTTCTAAACAAGATCACAATGAGCGTTTTGCCTACTGTATAGGTATTCATAACGTGTCAAACTGTCTTCCCATCAACAAGAGGTCTTTTTTTAAAAAAAAAAAAAAAGAAAAGTCTATATGGTCTTGCCTTTTGTATTCAGTTTTTAAGTTTTCACGATCACAACATTTTGATTTTGCATTGCACCACTTTATCACTTTTCAGCCTTAAATACAAAAATCATTGTTGTGACAGATTACTTATACACTATTGTGCAAAAGTTTTTAGGCAGGTGTGAAAAAATATGCTTTAAATTAAGAATGCTTTCAGAAATAGAAGTGTTAATTGTTTATCAAGTAAATGAACAGAAAAGAAATCCAAACAATCAATATTTGATGTGACTACCTTTTGCCTCAAAACCGCATCAATTCTTCTAGGTACACTTGCACACAGTTTTTGAAAGAACTAGTCAGGTAGGTTTTTTTCAAACATCTTGGTGAACTAACCACAGATCTGTGGACATAGGCTGCCTCAGATCTTTGTCTCCTTGTAATCCAAGACAGACTCTGTGGGGGCCAAACCATCATTTCCAGCACTTGTTCTTTATGCTGAAGATGGTTCTTAATGACATTGGCTGTATGTTTGGGGTCGTTGTCCTGCTGCAGAAAAAATTTGGGGCCAACCACATGCCTCCCTGATGATATGGCATAATGGATAAGTTTCTGCCTTTATTTCTCAGCATTGAGGACATCATTGATCTTCAACTCCATTTGCAGAAATCAGCCCCAAACTTTCAATGAACTTCCACCATGCTTCACTGTTGCCTGCAGACACTCCTTATCGCTGCAATTCTTTCATGAAGACCACTTTTGGCCAAGTTTTTTTTCTTTGTGCTTGTTCAAAAGAGCTTGACAGCACATCTTGAAACCCCAGTCTGTTTTGAAATCTTTACCTGGGAGAGAACTTGCTGACACAGTATAACTACCTTGTGTCTTGTTGCTGTGCTCAGTCTTGCCATGGTGTATGACCTGTGAAATGAAACTGTCTTCTACAGCTTCGCCTTAGTAGCAGAGTTTGGCTGTTCCTCACCCAGTTTTAAGCCTCCTAAACAGCTGTTTTAAGTAATTACTATATTTCAACCTACATATGAAATTGATAGTTATTGGCACCTGCTTGGTATAATTGGTTATTCATATACCTGACTCTAATCCTACCAAATCCCTGACTTTGTGCAAGTGTAAGTATTGATGCTGTTTTGAGGCCAAAGGGTAGTCACACCAAATATTTGATTTAGATTTTTCTTCTGTTCGCTCACTTTTCATTTTGTAAATTGATAAATTATTTAAAATATATATTTTTGAATGCATTCTTACTGTGCATCATTTATTCACACCTGCCTAAAACCTTTGTACAGTACTTTATATTAGTGCTTTTAATATGGTGCATTTATGATAAACCGTGCAATCTTTAACACCATAATTTTGTTTTACAGCTTATTTTAGGGGAATATAAATGGTTAAATTATGAAGAAGTGAATACCCGAGTCAGCCATTTTGGAAGTGGATTGGCTGCGCTGGGCCTGAAGCCACGAAGCACGGTTGCCATTTTCTGTGAAACTAGAGCCGAATGGATGATAACTGCTCAAGCATGCTTTAGATATAATTTCCCATGTAAGTAGCACACCGCACATGATTTGTGTAACACAGCTAAAACTCAGGTACAAGCAAATCTCTAATAAAGGAAAGAGCACTATACAGAGTTCAATAGCCCAGTTTGGATGCAGAAATTTTTAATGGTACTGGATAATATACCAATGGATGCAGCTTACTGCTGAGATGTAGTTGAGACTGTTTTTCTTGATTGGGTCAGTTACGTGGGTGCCAGAATATGCTGCAGATGCAAAGCTGAACCCCAGGCTTACCTTCATTCCTACGCAGTTGTATAGGCACTTTTCCAGTACTGAAATTGCTTACTCTGGTTTCATTGCACACTGTGAGTTTCTCACAGCATGCATTAGAAGCTACTGCAAGTCTGGTAGAACCTGCTACATTTCTTGGTAGGAAGACATCCCAAATTATCTAAGCCATTCCTCCCAGCCTGATTGTCCTTGCCCTGCATCTGTTTATCATTTTGATTTCAGTTCTTTCAATTCTCACATGTGGACGTTGCCTAGAGCAGGCTGCCTAGGAATGCACACTCTTTTTTCCCATCCTCAAACGTTTGATATTTGCATAGCTTCTTTCAAGAGCCAGCCCACTTCTTTGCATCAAGAGTGCTGACGATGCTGCTGGTCCCTTCCACACAACCATAGTCTCCCTGCTTTGCATAGAGAAGCACAAAGACCTAGTGATGGTATCACTGGGCCTAAAATAAGGTATATAAAGAAAATGGAAAGGTTCTATTGACAAATGTCATTAGCACAACGATGGGGGATGGGAGGAACCAAAGAAGGCAAAATTTATAAGCAGGTTTAACTTCAGCTTTTTTTTTTTTTTTCCTTCTTTAATATGCTGTAATAAGCTACTATAGTTATGCTGGCGCTATGGCCACAGATCTCTGTAGACACACCTTTGTATGAAAGTAATGTGATATTGTTGTGTAGTGAAGTACTTACATCAGTCTTTTAATACAAAAAGCAGTAAGAATCGCATCACGTTGAATCTCAGTTCTGTTAAGGAATCTACTGAATCCTTGAGTTGAAGACCGCCTACCACCTTGGTATTTCAGTGTTTCAACCAGAATACATGAATGTAATACTCCTAAGCTAGATTCTGAAACACCACTGCAGGCTCCCCTGACACCTCAAAAAGAAATGGCGATTCTGAGAAGGAGCAAAGGAAGTCTAATCTTTCTACTGCCCAAGTGAGACTTTTGGATCCGAGTGCAGTTCAGGTGCAGCAGTGGGTTACAGAACTTGCACTAAGGCCTGGTTCACACCAATCCGATTTGCAATGCTCTTTGCATCTCTGTGTATTTTGCCTCATTTTGTGTGTATTTTTTTTGTTAAAAGGTAAGTTTGTTGCTGGGCAGAATAAAAATGCAAAATGTGGCAAAAAAACATACTACATGCGTTTCAGCAGCGTCTCCATTGAACTCTATAGTAGCAAAAATGCTGCTTTATGCATTTAAAAAAAGTCTCTGACCCTTCCCAAAAACGTAGCTGCTCAAAAAAAAAAAAGCAGAGATGTGCACGTGTCCTATAGGAAACCATGTTAAATGGACTGTAGTGTTTCTGCAAAAAGCACTAAAAAAAAGCTTTGACGCATTGGTGTGAACCAGGCCTAAGGAAAACAGAGAATAAACTTCCTGATTTTAGTACATTTGTAGTGTTAACTCGATTTAGCATTACTAATGCTTGGATTGGTTTCTCCTATTGCCTGGAATTGCTCTTAAATTATTTTGTGGAGAGTCTAATGAAGCTAGTTTGGCCATCTGCAGATCTATCTATTTCCACAGTGTCACCTAGCAACATAAGGCATACTGACCCTCCTGATTTTTAGTTAATGTCATCAGATGGCAGGAATGCATTGAATAATAATCTGAGAAATTTGCTGAAGAATCCATATTCATTGCTTGTGGTTTGCCTAGCTTATTTTCTTTTCTTTTAGAGGAACTAACATTTCCACAAAGTTCCGCTTTCTTTTGAAGTGAAGATATCCGTGTAGACTTTCTGCAGAATACAAATTAATTTCCCTTTTTATTGGGCTATGCATTATTAAATTTTGCAAGTAGAGGATAAGGCAATTTGTACTGTTTGCCCATTCTATGGTTGTGAATCAGACTGAGCAACTTATAAAAGAAGACCCATGGAAAAATCCTTTAAAAGATTGTTGTACTTTAAGCTGGCCATAAATAGATGGAAAGTCATCCAGTTCAACAAGGATTGAATTTTGAACCATAATTGAACATGCTTGTTCAAGAGGAGTCAAATTTGGTGATCAACTCCCTTCAAGCGGGACTGTTTGAAAATTTTGTATTCGATCAGTTTGTGCAGCCAGTCGGCTGCAGCAGTGATCAGTGTAGTCTGACAGCAGAGAAGTCCTGTTGTCAAATACAATAGCTCAGCATCCTCTAAGGAGGATTCCTTGATCCACCTGAAATGTGTAGATGGCAAAATAATTTTGTGGCCAGCTTAAGCCATCACTAATACCCAGCCCTCCTAAGCTAAATTGCTTACAGACCGTCCAATGCAATTCTCTTCAGGGTGGTCTTGAATTGTGTTGTACACCAAAGATCTCCCTTCTGGCTGTACGGCCCCATTCATATCAATAGGGATTTGCAGGGGCAATACTGAAGAGTTTTGTCACAAACTGTAAACACTAGAGGAGGCTGTGGCTCTGCAATGGAGGGAAGTAAGCAGCTGAACCACTTCATGTTTCATTATATGTTACACTATGGCACCTTTTATTGTCTCGCTGCAGACATTTACCAAAAAGGTGCTGCTTGCAATGTCAAACAAAACAATAGTTTCTATGTGTGTGATATAACTCTATAGCGCAACAAATGTTCCAATAGAAGAATCTTAAATTCTTTGAAAGAAAATGTGATCTGTGCAATCTGAGAACAGTTGAATATTCACTAAAACATAATCTTCCTTGCTTTTCTGCAACATTTTGGGATATTTAGATTGTTTAAAGGTGTTTTTACTTTCAGTGGAAAATTACTAATTGAATATGGATAAGGCGTGGTGCATAAATACATGGGCAACAATTGAAATAAAACAAGTCTAATGTGTCTAGTGGCTGATAATGTGCAAAAACATGTGCCCATTGATGTCGGTGTACATGAAGATTCTGAATCTTGTAGAACAACAAAATCAGTGGAAAGCTTAGTTGAGACGTAACAATAAAAACATGACTGATAACCTAACCTTTTCCCACTGTGTCCAAAAAAAAAAACAAAATGGATGGAGTTGAAGGTAGACTTTAAGTAGCTGAGGAATGGAGTATAGAGATCTGCTTCATCTGGTAGACTACCCAGAGCATTTAATTTCTGCCTCTGGGTACCTGTCTAACCCTTACTCCATTATGTCCTGTAATTTCATCATTAGCCTAAACTTGTGTACTGGAAAGAATTGGAAGGTTGTTTGTGAAATGTTATACTTCAGAAACCTTTTCAAAATTGCGTTTTACTTTTAAGTTTAATGCCAATTCTGTCCAGAACTGCTTCCATTTTGTGTGCTTGTTGACAACTGGAATGACTTACTGGCTTCTCTTAGCTCTGGGTGGTGAGAGAAACCTCAAGTTGTTGTCTCTTTGATTTGGCACATGGTGGTGCCTGTATCCCTGATGGATTCTGTGTGTTAAATAATTAGTGGAGTACTGCTGTGAGTGAAGTAATGGCTTTATTATGATCCTGCAGCTTGGATCTCTTAACCTCTGTCTACAAGGAAAACTGAATTCTGAGTCTAAAACCCTATTCACATTTGTAAGCTCAGTTGCCTTAAGCTCAAAAAAGTACATTATAGATCAAAAGATGCAGCGCTATAGAACCAGAACGTTATAATAAAACGAAAGAATCAAATCAATAAATCAATATTAGATAACTGAACAAAAGCAACAGTTCATAGAATAAGGTGACTTTAGTGCTCTCCTCTATTTCGTATCCTCCTGATGATCAGGCGTTGTGCAAAATAGTGCTGAAGAAGTGCACACTCACCAGAACGCACAGGTAAATGAGCGTTTATCAATATAGATTCCCCTTAGAATCATCGGCTGGACAGGATGTGGTGGTATGACAGCCTCCTTCCAGAGCTCCTAGATATTCCTGTGTGGTCCCTTGATAGGTGACCTGCGGACTTCTCCTTAAAGCTTGTATGCGTTTCTTACCCAGCAGAGAGATGAGTGACTAAAATGGATACTCCCCAAGGGAGTCAAAACAAAACGTATCCATAGTGTAGTAGGTCATTTAAAAGAATTTATTAAAACGACAGAGATCCGTGTACACAGCAGTGTATAAACAATGTGGACTGACCGTCCAATGGTAAAGATGGCCGCCGGAGCTCCACGATGCTCCGGCGGCGTGACGTCACGGCGTTCCTGGCTCCTCCTACGCGTTTCGTGCACACGCACGCACACAGTCGTCTGGGGGGATTTGCCACTCTACATGAACTTTATTTAAGCGTATTTTGTGGTTTTTAGTCCTGTACACTTCAATGGGAGTACCTGCAATATGCACTTTTTCATGCTTGAACTCCTCTTCTATAGAACTGTTCTCTTCTCTTGCCCAGCCTAGGAAGCAAATAGCTGAAGCTTAATACACATGTAAAAAATCCTTATAAAAAGCTTTAAAATCACCAGGAATGCATTCTAAAGCTGGCTATACACTAATAGAATTTCTTAGAAAATCAAACAAAATGTTCTAACAAGTAATTCCCAAATAGTGAGGCCAAATAGTCGTTTTTTTTTTTGTTTTTTTTTGTTTTTTTTAATTTTTTTTTTTTTTTTTCATCACCATTTCAAAGGAGCAGGATGGAAATTTTTTTTTTTTCCATGGAATCTCCAACAGTGTTGCTTTTGTTCAGGTAATTACAGTAATTTCAAAACCATGTTAAAAAGTAAAAATTTGAAGTACTTTTTGAGCTGCATTTGTCCAGTCATTGAGTGTACAAAAGCATTTTCTTTGAAAACCTACTAGTGTATGGCCAGCTTTACACTCTTCTCAATGTCAATTCTATGAATGCAGGCTAAATTTGGTTTGGTAGATTGCAAGAAAGTATTCAACTTGACTTTGTTTTACTTTTTCATTTTTAGTGGTTACATTGTATGCTACACTTGGCGAAGATGCAGTGACCTATGGCCTCAATGAATCAGGAGCCACACATCTCATTACTAGTGCTGAGCTACTGGAGACAAAGCTAAAGGTGTGTATTAACATCCTGTATGATGTTAGGTCTTTGCCCTCATCACCTTACCATTTTCACTGAACTTTTTTTTTTTTTTTTTTTTTTCCTTGTTCTGTTGCTAGTGTGTGCTGTCAGAAGTCAACCATATTAAACACATAATCTATGTGGGCAAGAGAAATTTAGAACTATCTGAGTATCCAGCAGGCCTGCAGATCCATAATATGGAGGCGGTAGAAGAGAGCTGGGTGCCAAACCTGAGAACTGTGAGTTTTTTACATTTTGTCATTTATAGAAGCAGAATGCAGACCATTAGCTCAAATACTTGCCTTCCTACAGTGGTCTACAGCCTTTCCAGCAAAAACATCCTCTTAGTTCACATGCATGCCATGGTCCCATTCGTTCCTGTTAAGCTGTATTCTGTTGGACTCCTAGAAGCAGAGTATGACTTACCAATTGTAATGCATAAGGGTGTGGTACACATTAAAAGGAAGAGCCAGTGGTGACATTTTGCACTGGAAAAGCTGTGCATGCTGGGCTGTGCTGAACAGAGAAGATCACTGAATTGAGATGATAAACATTTGAGCGGGGATGAGGGGAACTGATTAAACAACAAATGTACAGTTGTCAGGTTCACAGGATTGAGTCTCTGAAATTGTACATTAAAATGCTATAATAAAGACAATTTTTTCCTCCATGATGAAAATTGGAAAATTAGAACACTTATAATGAAAATTGCCATGTAAATAGAAATATTTCAAAACCGTCCCCTTTGTTTTAGTTGCCCTTAGGTCACTTAAGGTATGAATATTAAACAATCCCTGCATACATAATGTACTATTTAAGTAGGTTTAGCTCCTTGTAATTAGGAATGGCCTAACTAGGAGCATTTTGTCGAAAGATTTTTTTTTTTGTAAAAAATAATGCACCTATTTGCAAAAATAAAGTGCATTTATTTTCATTTTTGAGCCTGCAAAGCATTGCACCAGCAGTCAGTGGATCATGGGTGCAATACTTTGACTCCTGCAGACTCTTCCTCCAGCCTATGACAGTGTGGGTTTTTTTTTTTTTCCTCCAAAACTTCCTGTGGATGAATTACAGGGCAGTGCAGGCAGTCACAATAATTTCAAATGACAGGAGCCAGTGAGAAAAGAACCCTGCAGTGTTGTAAGAGAAAGGAGGGAGGGAGCTGCTATGTACATTAATCATGTTTTCATGTTACACCCTAAATGTGGCTGTAAGATGAAGAGTAGTCAAACAGGTGGAGACAACTCTTAATATGTATACAGGTGCATCTCAATAAATTAGAATATCATTAAAAAGTTAATTTAAGTAATTCAATTAAAAACTTGACACTCCTATATAGTTTCATTACACACAGAGTGATGCATTTCTTTCTTTTAATTTTGATTATGGCTTACAGTTAGTGAAAATTCCAAAACTCAAAATCCAGTAACTCAGAGGGTGTCAATGACTGTCTTCTGGACAACTGTCAAATCGGCAGTCTTCCCCATGATTTTGTAACTTAGACAGAGATCATTTAATGGCTCAGGAAACCTTTACGGGTGTTTGAGTTGATTAGCTGATTTAGAGTGTGACACCATAAGTCTGCAATATTGAATTTTTCACAATATTCTAATTTTCTGAGAACTGAATTTTTGGTTTTCACTAGCTGTAAGCCATAATCATCAAAATTAAAAGAGAGAAATGCTTGAAATGTCACTGTGTGTAATGAATCTATACAATGTTTCACTTTTTGAATTGAATTACTGAAATAACTTTTTGATGATGATCTTCTAATTTGAGATGTACCTGTGTATACCATGCACTACATGGATGAGGCAGTACCTGTGTGTGGGTGAACTTGGTAAACATGACAAAATGTATATTAGTTTTTTTTCAGCAGGGCTAGAGCATTGTTTATGTAGTGAGAAAAATCGGGCAATGGAGATTCTACTACTATGGATGTAGCCTTGCCATTTAAAACTGAACCCAATCATGAGAGGATCTGAACACCTAAAATAAATTTCAGTCATAGATGGTCTTCTGAGCAGTCCCATCCACTGTGTGGACTGGAAGGACTTGAGGACTAGTACTTTCCTTAGTCTTTAGTTCTCTTTGCTTCTTCTTTGTTTCAGATGTCTTGCCCTAGATTTAATGTTCCCACTGCTACTTTTGAGTTCAAGAAAAAAAACATTAAGAAAATCTATTAGAGGGGAGGGTGACACCTCCTCATAGTACCCATTGCAGATGGGCAAACCTCCCTCATCCTTGGATTGCAAAAAATATAAATATATTTAATTCTGTTTCTAATTTTATTCTGTTTTTGATAGACTAATGCTTTAACTTACTAATGATAAAAGCTTTTTCAGAAAGCATTCTCTGACCTGTACTTGTGTGGCCTTTCTTTGCAAAAGCAGCGGAATAAAAGAAAATTTAAGAAAATTAAGTGTCTGAAAGTTCTGCTGGGCTATTGTACCATACACACTGTAAGATTTTCAGACATTGTGATACATGTTTGTGAGAATGATGGAAGCCATCAATTTTTTGCATCAAATGTCTGTTGCTCTGTAATGATCCAGATGCCAAATGTTGTTCCAAATAATGGACATACCAAGTACATCGACATACATGTGTGCATGCTTATAAGATACTCTACTTTATTCTCGTAAATAGTCTGAGATAGCCTTACCAATATGTGACCATCTCTAGCCGTTTACATCTTCTGTGCGTCTTAATTCTAAATATTGGTAGACTGCACATCTGACAGTTAAGACACTAAGTATTCTTCCAACAATTTAGATGTTAGTGGTATGTATAGTCTTCCTAGCAGTTGACTGGCATTTTTTGATCCACAGTGGACAAGCCTCCATGCAGACCTCTTCCTACAGACCTTGCTGTTGTCATGTATACAAGTGGCTCCACTGGCAAACCCAAAGGAGTAATGATGATTCATAACAACCTAATAGCTGGCATGGCTGGACAGTGTGAACGGATACCTGGCCTTGGGTAAATATTTGCCTCTGACAGTATGGTTTTATATTTTACTCCTTAGACTTTGTACACGTGTTTTTTACTTTTTTGGGGGTTTTTTGTTTGTTTTTTTTTTTTTTCAATCAGCAGATTGCACAGCAAAACTTTCAGCAAGCTCCAAGCAGCTTTCTTGAAGCTTTTAAGTAACCCTGTTTAGGTTAAGCACAGTAATGAGTGTTGGGTATCACGTTATAGGTGAAACTTTTTTTCATTTTTGATCAAGTAAGGGAGGGTCATAACTCATGTCAGTTTAATTTTTTTGGCATCGGAGTCTCGTTGAGGAGAATTCTTTTACTTTCTGTCCCACAGCCAAAACCGGAAGCAAGAGAAAATCTCTGCAAATTAAGGAAATCTATAGACCTTTTTATTTTTTTTTTTTTTTTTTTTTTTTTTTTTTTAACCACTGATCTATATGCAGCCTTTGTTTTCAATGTGCCTGCACACACAGGTGTGTAAACATGCTGCATGTAGATGAGTAAAAAAAAAAAAAAAAAAAAACAGTATTTTGCGTCCATATGCGTGCAATTACACGTGTGTAGTATGTTAATTTTGAAGGGGTTAAAATACCATTCTGATAGCTAGAATTTATTTTACTCGTGTACGCACAGATGCACGCAAAAAACGCATGAGATTTTGGGCAGGTATACTGATGTTCAAACATCAGTAACACGTGCGAGTACCGTAAAAGGAAAGAACAAAATGGATCTTCATAACAAATACTCATTGGGTTTTTTTGTTTTGTTAGGCCAAAAGACACCTACATTGGATACTTGCCGTTGGCACATGTTCTAGAGATGACTGCGGAGATATCCTGTGTAACCTATGGATGCAGGATTGGCTATTCCTCTCCACTAACGCTGTCAGACCAGGTAAGCATGCACTGCTGTTCTGGTTAATAACGTAGATGACACTCAGGACCAATAACGATAAAATGAACATGTACTTTCTGAAAGTGTTAACATATGTACATATGTTTATAAAAAGTGAAGAAAAAAAAATCCTATGAGATTTGAATTTTATATAATGTTATGAAGCTTTTCCCATTATAAGCTACTTCAGGTTAAAGGTGGATAAAAAAAGAATAATAGTTATGGAATTAGATGGTGTGCTAAAAAATGTCAGCATTTAGCAGTATGGCACTTGTGAGACCTACAGTGTAAGATATATGTCAGTGTTAACTGCAAATCTGCAATAGCTCTTATGTTTGTGTCTGAAGAGGTACACTTTATTTCTTGTCTTGATTTATGGATCTTCTATATATCATGCAATGGGTATGTATTTTTACTTGGATTGTGTGTCTTAATTCAAAATGAATTTGTCCTTTGACACATGAGGATAAGTTCATCCAAAAGTGATATTTTACTACCTAGTGGAGCCTGGCCCCTCACTTTTTGGTATGTCTTTGATAATCCTATGACCACATCTCCCTGCTGTAATTCTGAGTTTGTTCCTGTCCATCTAGGATTTTGGCTGTTCTTCCCATCTGTGCCTTCTCTAGCACCTTCTATTGCATTCTCAATATAAAATTTTCAGGAAGGGTTAATATATTAAAAGTCCTCAAATTGACACACACACACAAAAACTGTCAGGTGGTAAAATGACTGTGCCAGTAGTGAACCCGTCCTGGATTTCAGGACTCGGAACAGCTGATAAAGCATACATCATGCTAATCTGAGCAGCCTAGATAATGCCTCTAATCAATTTTCTGACAGGTTTAGTCTTGTTCTTTTTTTTATTTTATTTTTTACACTGATTTTAAGAATTGGTTACATGTTGTTGCTCCAACTTAGTCTGCTCTGAATTAGAACATTAGGGAAAGGCAGGTTGGGTGGATAAGGAAATTACTAGAGAACTTTGCTGTAATGTTCTTCACTGAGTGTGCAGTGAACGTGTTCCTTTTTAATTATTCCACGTGTTTCATTTGGGAAGTAATTGTGCAGGGTGTTTGCTGATCTCTTATGAATTAATTGTCTCTGCTTCCTGTCAAGCAGGATAAGAGTCTGACACTTAAATCATTTCTTTTCTACTTAAATCACAGCCTGGCTAAAGGGCAAGAGATAATTTTAATGTGAAAGAGCAAATATTTCAGAAAATGTACTAGGTGGCCTTTCAACCGTTGTTAAATGTTGCACATCCTAAGGGGTCCCTATCTGGGTGAGGAAGATCAACTTATCAGGAATCAAAATGTAAAGGACATGGCTACCATAGGCACTGAAGTCATTCTACCCACCTGTGCATTAAGACTTCTTTAAATTATGTCTCTTATTCATGCAATGCATTTCTATGATTTAAGGTGTGCTGCATTAAAGCAGCCTATTTAATTTTGAATGGGCTGGCAGCGCACCTTAAAGTATAGAAAATCATATTGGCATACTGCAGCACATAAATACATGCATTTGTGGTACACTGCAGTGTAGGTGTGATGGGGCGTCTATTCGAAAGGATGCATGCATTTCACTGTGCATTGAATTATTGCAGCAAATGTAATGGGCCCCTTATTCTATACATTGGGGGGTCTCCAAACTTTCTAAGCAAAGGGCCAGTTTACTGCCCTTCAAGCTTTAGGGGGGTCTGACTGTAGCTGGCGGGCGTGGAAAATGCCTTGGCATCAGTGCCCCATAACTGGTTTTAATGGGAGAAATAGTGGCCAATTGAGCACTATTCTCACTGATATCAAAAATTTAGCACTATTCTCACTGATATTAACAATTGTTGATATGAATGAGAAGAATTGTGCCCCATTGATGGTGTCAGTAGGAGAAATAGTGCTCCATCATTGGTGTCAGTGGAATAGTGCCCGAAGGGACAGATTAAAGCAAGAAAAGGGCCACATCTGGCCCCAAGACCACTGCTATAGATCAATGCAAGCATCTGTGTAGATGCAGAAAGCAGGTTGTTTCCATACTGCTTTGATATTAAGTTTCCAAGCTGCTGTGATTTCATTTTGTGTACACATCTTAATATTTATTCTACAAGATTTCTCTAGCGCTTTATGTGGGAAAAGGTTGGCTAAACTTTCTTGAACTTTTTACAATGCACGGTTTGTCTTTAAAGTGCATAATTGTTCTCCTACACTGACCCAGACTTTGGCATGTCTCTCTGAATCAAGGCACAAAGCCAGATTTACACAGCAGAAACTGTTTATTCATTTGACTAGTCTTCTGGATATGGAGTCTCTACTGTGCCGCAAATAATTCTAGTGATCCACACACAGCTCTAAGCTAGACACAGAATTACTGGATGCTCTGGGACTGAGGAGGAGACTAAAAACCTTTAGAAATTGTCCTTGTACCACCACATTATGTATCTAGAAGTGGTAATCAAACAAGAATACAGGGAAAGACTAAGTGCCTGTTCACACTAAACCACAGTGGTGTATGTGCAGGTAGTTCTTTCTTCCGGCTGTAGTATACTGCTGGTGGAGGTGGTGTGATGCGTATTTAGTGAATCGTACAGTTCCCTTTTTTTTTTTTTTTTCAACTGTATTGGAAGTGCAGAATGTGACACTTCATGTCACTGCATAGCAGCGTGGTGTGTTGTGTTGCTGTATAGTAATGTGCGATTCCCGTCCTGCATGCTGGAAAAAAAAAAAAATCCTTGTCTGCACTTTATGGCCATTCATTTCACCACACCTCTGGGGTGTGTTGCAGTGTGAACAGCAACATGAATACAAATACACTATTCCCAAAGCACGTGTTGGCTGTGCATGTACGTAGATGGATGCTGCAGAGACCACTGACTGGAAACAGAAGACTTTCAAAGCGAATATGTCACCAGCACACTACGGATGTCCAAAAAGGGTCCAAAGCTTCATTCAGCGATCACATCATCACTTAAGCAATGTTTCAGAGTCACGCAGGACGCTGTTTTGCAGTGTGCACAGGACACATAGAAAACAATTGTTTTCTGTGGGTCCCAGCAGTGACCTGCTTTCTTCCAGTGCGGTAACACGCAGATCGCACTAGATTTGAAAATTGATTCCTACAATGGCTAGATATGTTTTATGTTTGAATTGTATTTTTGCACTAAATTTCAATCAGTATATTTATACTATGATTTGTAAGTACTAGGTACCTAATATGTGTATATTGTTTGGGTTTTTTGTTTTGTTTTTTGCTGATGGCACTTCCACTTTGGACTTGTCACGATTATGTATAGTTTTCTTTTCTGCTACTGAAGACTGGAACATTGAGCGTAACATGCAATAATGGCCAAATCATTTATGCACATTCAGCTGCTCTTGTATGTGGTTGACCATGGTTTCTTTACCTAGAAGATCTAGAGCTGTCTATCTGTAGGTAACACTAGATACCTACAGGTTTCATAACCTACCCTAACTTCCTTCCTAATCTTATGGGGGAGTTTCAGTACTACGTAATATGCTAACAGCTCTGTCTGCTGTTGATCTCCAAGTACTTGGATCCTTGTTGTTCATACTTGTTTGGTCTGACAACAAAGTACCATTTGTATACCTAGTGCTGCTGACATTGTATAGAAAACATAAGGCAAAAGCTTTCATTGGAAGCTGGGCATAGATCAATCAAAATACAACTACTTCAGCAGAAACAAGCTAAATTCCAATCGATCTATGATTGTGCCCATTCTAGAGAAGTCTAATGATAGACTTCTCTCAAACCAGCTTGTTGGAAAACTTTTTTTTTTTTGATCAGCACTGCTGCCAATTGTGGAGGAGTCCCCACTGTCAGAATACTTTAACACAGCAGGGACAATTCCTCCAGGGGAATCCATTTATTTTTTTCCAATCGGCCAACTGGCTGTTCAAAAATAGACTGATCTATGTGTGGCCAGCCTTTAGTTGACTACTATACCCAAGTTTTACACTTGGTTAAAAATCATCAAAAATGGCAAAAGCTTGACTTTAGGCTCCATTCACGAAGATAACACACCAGGCTATGTATCCTTTTTGAAGAAAAAGTGAGTTTTCAGGTAAGTCCAATGAAATTAGAAAATTAGTCAGATGGCTAATAGAGTGCCTTAGGATGGTGTTAAAGCGGAGCAAAAGTCAGGATTGCATTTCTCTACTTCAACAGTCAGACACTCGTGGGGTCCTTTGCTGGCATCTTCTCTCAGGCTTCCTCCAGGTGTCAATCAGCCATCATGATTAGTCAGTGCAGGATGACGTTACTCCTGCGCATATGCAGTGTCATTCATCTTTGTACACGGGCACTGTGCCAGAAATGTAAACTGAGCTGTGCATGCGCTGCTCCGTGTGCATTCTGCAGAAGATTGCGAACAGTCAGGTAAGTTTATTGTAGAAGAGACATTGCATGTCTCTCCTCCAATAAGGAGCCTGCCTGTTTGTAATTGTTTTTCTACTTTAGTCCCACTTGAAAGCGTTTTGAATTGTTTATTATGCCTTTCTCTAAATGACTGCAGGTTACCACATAATCTCTCCCTCACGGAAGTAATTGGTCCTTTCATTGTTTACCAAAAAAAAAGTATTTCTTCTTCTAAAAAGCAAATGTATTTTTTTTCAACCATGCAGAATTACAGAAGGGGAACCTCCTTCCTTTTTTTTTTTAAGGTCAGCACACACATTCCAGCCCAATATGCTGATGTAGTGTTCAAGCTGCATATCTTGTACTATAAAAAGTATGTAAGAGTAGCTGGTGTTTCAGCTAGGGTCAGTTCGCCAGGATTGTATCTCCTTGAGCTACTTATTTTGTGATCAGATGATTAAACACTTGTAAAAAGAGAAGTTGAAAGACCAGTAACAAACGTCAACACGTTATGCACAGGCCATTCTTTCGTAATGCAGTACTTGTAGAAAAGACTAGTTTACTCTTTCCTGCTGTTCTTGTTCTGTGCTTTTCGATCTGGCTGAGTCCTACCTGATTAATTCTAAACTGTTTGGACAGCCATAGTACCTCACTTTATCTTGAAAGATAATTTGGCACGGTTAAACGTATTTGATCTGCTGCATATGATTTAAAAATTCTTCAACTTTTTTTTGAAGACTAATATTTTAGGCAGAGGGGGTGGGCAAGTCTAGTTTTTTTTTTTTTTTTGTTTTTTTTTTTTTTAATTTTTCTCCCCCCACAAGAATAGCGGCGCAAAGAGCATTTATGGTTTACGGTGTGCAGAATGCGGCAATCAGCTGGACTATACTGAAGTCAGTTAATTGCAAGATTTTCACGTGGCTGCAATGGTTTACCAGAATTTGTGTGTAAAAGTTTTTTTATATTTGGATGTTAAAGTATGTTGTGAAGTCTCCCAAACATCCTTTCTCAGTGCTGTATGTGACAACTCTGACCCATCCTCCTGACTTTGAAAAGGGGGTATTTAGCAGGAATGGGCTGGGACCACCAGATCAATACAAGGGCAAGGGGATTGCCTTATCAAACTTTGAAGTTTTCCACAATGTGAATAGTTTAGTGTTCTGTTATGTTGAAGCCTGAGGTGAACATAGTAGTTCCAACACACATGATCTCATGACAAGGGGATATATGAAAGTGGTCACTTCTACCACAAACATTCTACAGGAAACTGCCCATTATCCCTCCTCACTGTGTTTACATACCTTAGCCAAAAGGTACATTTATGTCAGGTGAGTTGTAGGATGCAATGTAGTCCAAGAAATTTTAGTTCCAATTTTGGTGTTCACACTTATCAGAACTTAATCTGAATTGACAGATTCAGATGCAGCCATTAACCAATCTGTCAAATGTTAACACACTGACTTGTATTTTCTTTTGTCTTTCACTAAAACTAAGTTTTTAAAACATAATTTTTTATTTTTTTATTTTTACAGTCAAGTAAAATAAAAAAAGGAAGCAAAGGAGATTGTACAGTATTGAAGCCCACACTAATGGCTGCTGTGCCTGTAAGTACACCTAAGTATTTCCTGTTTATCTGTAATCTCACAACAAAACAAGTACATGAAATAACTAGAAGCTGTTTTATTCTTTCAACACCTCTTAAAAGATTCTACTATTGTCCATTTTTAAATTTCAGGATGTGTTCTTTTAGAAGAATTTAATACATTTTTTTTCTGTGCATGTTACATTACTTCAAGGCTTGAATAGACCCTATTTCAGTAGTGTAGGAAAAGTAATATTTCCCTTTTACTACCTTGTTCCAGCTGTAATCTTTATGGGCAAAATAGACACACAAGCTACTACTCTGCTTTTCTACTGTTTGTTACAGTTGAGTTCCTTTTGAACTAATTTTCCACACTAATAAGCAGGAATGTCTTTCCTGACAATTAAAATTTGAGTATAAATTAAAGGATAAGGTTCACCTTTTCAAGAAAAAATTTCTACACATTTTTGCAGGGAAAACAAAATGTGTGTATTTTTTCCTGCAGGAGCCTGGAAAGCATTGCACCTGTGATCGGTGGTACAGTGTTGGGCTTCTGCAGACCAGCACTGTAGCTTTCACCCTATACTAGCAATATGGGCTGTCAATTACAAAGCTCCAGGCCAGGGCTTGTGAATAAACTACAAGGGCGCTCATAAGCTCCCTCGCAGTTGATTCAGAGCTACAAGCCATCAACCACGGTGGATGACCATAGTTGTACTACATTCATGGGGAAACCATGAATGAATGATGCGGCCGTGTAGGTGGAGTTCTGCTCGGCTGCACTGTTTTTAAATTGTGACCGCAAATGCAGGGAGAGGGTCCCCCATCCACTTTCACATTGAGGTGGGAATCGGGGGTAGGGGGGGTGCTGGCAGGCTGCAGAAGCTGTTACTTCACCCTAAATACAGGTGTAACATGTTCTCAAAGGTTACTGTATCCTTTACAGAGTGTAAGTCCTACTCTCCCACTTTGATGTATTTAAATCCCTGACTTCAACCACTCCCTGCTCTTCAGATCTTTTTTTTTCGCATATGTATACTCACTACCAAGTTAATGAGTCTATTTTAGGTAGGTTTTTTTTGTGTGGATTGAATACTGTTAATGTATGCCCAGTTCTTCCTGTAATATGTTACTGTTCTCTTATAGGAAATTATGGATCGTATTTACAAGAATGTCATGAGCAAAGTGCAAGAAATGAATGTTTTCCAGAGAACACTGTTTAAGCTGGGTTATGATTACAAGTTGGAGCAGATAAAGAAGGGATACGATGCTCCGTTATGTAATGTGTATGTAAAAGTCATTCATGTATAACTAGCCAGTTGTGTGGTCTGTCACTACATTCAATTGTTTAATTCAGTACGGTTAATTCTTGCATTATTTTCATCTGGTTCTGTGGCAGAAAGGAATATGTGGTGGTTTGTGTCTTATGCCATTGACAGAACTAGGTGGCTTTTTTTTTTTCTTTTTTTCTTTTTTATGATCACAAGTCTCAACTATGGTTACTGTATAGTGAAAACTGCAGCTGCTGGTGTATAGGTAGATTAATGAAAACAATCTCGCTTAGACATGTTAATGCTGTCAAAGTAGATTCTGGAGTGTACCTGCACTGACTGATTGCATTATGCAAGTATTCAGTGCATTGTTAAAGTATGTTTAAACGAATACCAGAACCTATAGTTGGCTCGATACAGCTGGCACTGTTTAAAAAGGTTCACAAGGGGTATTTATCTGTAGCCGGTTTGGAGGGGATCCCACACTTCATTTCTTACATCCAGGTTAAATAGAGTATTGGATGCCATGATAGGCATTTTATTTATTCCTAGGTTCTGCCACTGTAGTATTAAGTTTTCAACAGGCACATGCTGTTGATCTCACAAATGTTTAACTAGAAAAATGTTTCAACCTGTCACACAGTTTTGTATATTGCATAGGGTTTGGTGTTCAGCAGTTCCATAAGGAAATGATTAAATTAACTCTGATTTAATTAAAAAGGAAAGCTTTGTTATAAAATGAGGCTCTACTGAAATTAAGAGCTTTTAACAAATAACGCTGTACCTTAAGCCAGTCATAGATGAATCGCATCTTGGCCAGTTCAGCAGGGACCAGCCAAGATTTGATCCATCTCTGGGCAGACTGGTTGTACTGAAGTCGATCCATTGATCGATTTCAGTACAACCCCCCGTTGGAATTTTTGCATGTGATCACTGCCGGAAGTTATAACAGCAGGCAGTGATCATTGTGTTTGGCTAGCAGGGAATGCTCCCCACCTCCAGAACACAATAGCTATGCGGGAGGGATTCCCCTGTCAACACTGTGTTTGAAGGAAAGAAAATCGTATCTTCTATGGCTTGCCTTACTCTGCACAGTAGAAGAGTATATAGTTTAGTCATACTACCTGATAACATCTTATACTTTTGTATCTCCAAAACATCACATTGATTTAGACCCTCAAAGTACTCAGAGCAAAATAATGTAGAGTCGTATTCCATCATGAGAGCGAAGTTATTTTTCTGCTAGCATATACCTTGTCAGCTATGCCCTTTGGAACGGCCACACAGAAACTTTCAAGATTTTCTCTATACAGGCCATGATCCATGGGGACACTATAAAAAGTAAATGTTTCCTAGAAAAGGATGTAGGCTTATGATCTATGCAGTAACAGATCTCCATTAGTATTGGATCTTTTTATTTATTTATTTTTACTCAGACTAACAATTTTGTTTCCTTTCAGGATATTGTTCAAAAAAGTAAAGGCATTATTAGGAGGGAATGTCCGCATGATGCTTTGTGGTGGTGCTCCTTTGTCTCCACAGACTCAGAGGTTTATGAATATCTGTTTCTGTTGTCCTGTTGGTCAAGGTTATGGATTGACAGAAACCTGTGGAGCTGGTACCATCACTGAAGGTAAATACGAAAACTGGCTGACAAATCTATTGTATTGAGTCAATTCCTTCTATTTAAAATTTAGAAAGTAAACACATCTCTTCTGTCTCCTAATGGTGTACACATGCTGAAGACTGTAGCTGATCTTGCTCTGTAATATGTTAATGAGGCTAATAGCCACTGAACTTTGGCATTTGCTTCTGCAAAGAATGAAAAAAAATTTTGCTGGATGTGAATTACACACCACCAAACCACTTTCCTTTTGACCAAATCTTTTGTAATTGCACCCTTTCTGTGGTCAATGTATAGGACATTCATTGAAAGGAAGATGTGAGTGAATCATGTTACTGCAGTGAGACCTGGGCAGCCTGAGGCCCGTAAACTTTTTGGCACCCCAGCCTAGAGCTTATGTGACCTGTTCACAAATCCATAGTTGCTCATAGAGGTCTATATCCACTAGAATATTTCACTGCAATCATAATTTTTCTCAGTCCAACTATTTTTACATATCAGCTACAAAGAGCACATTGTTTTCAGTGGGCCAGTAGACTTTTGGACTTGCATTGCGAGAAGGAACAGTAAAGCACAACCATTGTATTCCACAGTTCACTGGAAGTAGAACTTGTATATGAGAAAAATAAGGCAGCCCACCATGTACACAAAATGACAAAAGTGTATATATAGAAAATACCTAATACTGTACATAAATATGATTTTATAACTTTAAGATCAAGTTTAGGTGTGGATTTTTTTTTGCATAGATACATTGGTTCAGTTTGGACTAATGTTGGTTAGTATTATACCTTGCCAATCTGTGAAAACTAGAACTAATTGTAGTAGGCACTGCTACGACAATGCTGCGGTCTTCTGGGTCCTGTAACAAGGGGCTACCCTACTGAATGTTTAACACTAGGGGGTCACTCAGCATTGGTGTCATTCACAGAACACCTTGCATATTGGCAATGAATGCAAGGCGTTCTCTGATTAAGGAAGGTGGAGAGGTGGGACACTGACCTCATGTTCTCACCTTGTCCAGTCAGAGAACGCCTTGCATTAACAGATAAAAAGAATCGTTTTCTGTTAATGTTGACTGTCCCTAGCCAGAAACCCACTATGTTCAATATGCAGCAGGACCACTGCTTGGCAAAGTACCCTGAAGCTAACTGCAGTTATTGTAGTACTGGTACCTACTAATATGATTTCCAGTTTCCACAACGATCAGATCAGCCAGACCAATGTAATTATGCAAAAATAAAAGCCTTAGAGTACTTTCACACTCTTCTGATGGGGTTTGACTACACAGCAGGAGCAGTGCAGCTTACCTGTGGGTGTGGTGTGAGTTAATGCACCTCTATGGAAGAGTGCAGCTATGTCCTGTGGTTTTGGTGCACTCTTAGCGTCCCAAAACCATGGGACATAATGGACCTCTATGGGAAAGCACAGCTAACCCACACCAAACTTCCTTCCATCCATGTGTGCTCTCTGCTGGTACTATAGATGCCGCTCTCTGGCTCTTGTCATCTATTTCAGCTTCTGTGCTCTGTACAGCATTCATCAGAGAACGCCTCTGTTTAAGTGGATATTGCATGTTTTGTTTTAATTCAGTATTTTAACCATCTTGTGCCATGTTGATCTTTTTGTTTCTTTGGAGTCCTGCAATTTAAGTGCTACAGCTGGGATCAGTTACCCGAAGGGAACTGGTCATTTACACATTTGCAACATTATTATGTGAAATGTAGTACTCTGTGTGGACTCTTGAAGTTGCACAACTGGTATGCCAGTAGCTTTACTCTCCACTATAGGCTAGTTCCTGAGCAATAAACCTGAACGCATTCAACTTACAAGTATGTGACTGGCCCATAATCAAGCTGTAGCTGAGTGTTGGAGGCACTGTTGCTTGGGATTTTCTGTACAGAAGGCAGTACTGGAATTATGACGGGGCCTTTTGTTAGCAAGTGTTTTTATTATATTACGACTTTAATAATGAACTAATTTTTTTTTCTTCTTTTTTTCTCAGTATCAGACTATAGCACTGGAAGGGTGGGTGCTCCACTTACTTGCTGTGAAATAAAACTACGAGATTGGGTAGAAGGTGAGTACTCTTAAAGTATAACTATAGGCAAAATTATTTATTTTTTCCATTTAGGTTAGAGTTGAGGGTTATAAGCCCTGCAGTTTTTCTTCCATCTGTGTCCTGTAAAGGAGATTTCCCTTCATTTCTTGTCCGATAACTAAAACCGGAAGTGAGAGGAAATCCCTCCAAAGTGAGGGGATGTCACCAGAACTAGTGTCCCGATGGGAAGACTTTCTCTTACTGTTCTGACGTCGGCCCAAAATTGGGGATTTTTTTACTTTCGATAATTGTAAACAGGACAAATAAAGTGAATCTCCCTAACTGTGGCACAGACCGCAATAAAAACTGATCCCTCCCCACTCTATCCAAAACTTTAAAAAAAAAAATGCTTTTAGTTAAACCTTAACACGATAGATTCTTCTACTATGTAAATATAAAAATATGTTGTTCTTCTGATTTTTGTGCAAAATGTCAAGACTTGCCAATAGTCAAGTTCCCCTATTTATGGGCTGTATTCTAGAATGATCAATGAGAAAATGCCCCCTATAATGGCAATAAGCTGGTTTTCATATCTAAGAAACTCCGCTGTTTAAAATGATTAGGGGACACCAGTGATAATACTAAAACTAGATGAAGAAAAGAGGGTAGTGCCACTGTTAAATTTTTTTGTATAACAGTTGTTGACATATACAGTTATACACTATTTTAAAACTCCTGAATTAAGACCCTCCAAACAAGACAAAGATTACTGCAGGCTGTCTGAGACTGCTAGGCTAGTAGTGTAAAGCTGGCTATATACTTGTAGGATTTCTGTAGAATTTTTCATTTTTAGAATATTCATTCAGTTTGGTTTTTTTTTGTTTTTTATTCACCATTGGGGTAAAATTGATATTTGTTTTTGTTTTTGACCACCGTGCAAAAAACAAAATTCCATCTTGCTTCACATTTTTTTTTGTCAAACATATGAATTTCCAACTATGAGAATTTTCATATGAGTGTTTGTTCGTTCAAGAGTCTACTAGTGTATCGCTAGCTTTAGTCATCTCAAACTTTTAATTGATTTTTTTCTTGCAGGAGGCTACACAAATCAGGATAAGCCACATCCACGAGGAGAAATTGTAATTGGAGGGCAAAACGTTTCCATGGGTTACTTTAAAAATGAAGAACGGAACCTAGAGGACTTCTATGTGGATGAGAATGAGCAGAGGTGGTTCTGTACTGGAGATATCGGAGAATTCCACTCCGATGGCTGCCTGCAGATAATTGGTAGGTTACTCAGCTTTATCCATACTGAGGAATATAATTTCCAGTGTCTTGCCTAATGACTAGAGATCTGTGTTTTTTTTTTTTTTTTTTTGTGTGTTTTTTACAGACCGGAAAAAGGATTTGGTAAAGCTACAAGCAGGAGAATATGTGTCTCTGGGCAAAGTGGAAGCTGCTTTGAAGAACTGTCCTCTGATTGACAACATCTGTGCCTATGCCAACAGGTAAACTTTCTAGATCGAAATACATTGAATTGTTATGCTTTGCTGTAGTTTATAGCCGTAGGGAAGCCACTGTTGCTGCAGTGCTTTTGGAGCTTTAAAGTATGATCATTAATGGATATAGTTACTGTAAAAGATTAAATCTGCCTCTAGTTAATGAAAATAGTTCAATAGTAGTATGCAGCCAAAATGCTGCCAGCATTTAAGTAGAAATATAAATTTGCACAACCATAAGCCTTATACCTAACTGCCAGGATGCCAGTATTTGTGTGTTTGTTCTCTAGTGTTCTTGATACTGACCCATGGCAGGCAGCATACGCGAGAGAAAGAATTGGGCACAAGTCAGGCTGGCTCATGATGAGGCAACCTGACAGACCCTACCCTGCTGTCTTCTTCTGGCATATGCTGCCTCCACCTGTCACTATCAGGAGACCCTGAGTATGTTTACACAGTGACAGCCTTTTACTGACCCACAAGCTGGAGAGCAAGCTTTCTGCAGAAAAAAGATCCATTTTACATTTACAGTTGGGCAACACAACCGCCAAAAGATCTGTACATAGTAAGGAGCACACTGTGTACATTATTACTATTAGACAAACGAGCAACATAAATATCCAGACACTGTTAATTGGTTTAAACAGTTAAGGGTTTTATAAAAATAATCACATCAGTGTTGCATGAATGCATTTTGTGATGTATTTATAACACTGGAAATGGTTTGTGCAAAAATGTATATTTACAGCATATGTAACCGTTACATTTGACTTTTTATTCCTATCCTGATCTGAGAGAACAGCTAGATTTCAGCTTCTGTGAGCATTGTTGCTACTCTCGAGTACTTTGCTGTATTCCCTTTTTAATTCGTCTGAACATATCTCAGCTTGCAGACTTTGCTTATAGCAACCAGTTGAATTCTTTACATTGTAGTGTTCATTCTTAGCATTTCTGTGTTTAATACCAAACATGTAATTCTCTTTATGAATATAATTTTATAAGTTGAAGTTCCAAAGCAAAAAAAAAATGTCTGAACCTGGAGAGGTTTTCTTTGCTTGTATGTGCCCTTGGTGATACTAATCTTCCTTGTATCCTGTTACAGTCACCAGTCTTATGTGATCAGCTTTGTCGTTCCTAATCAGAAGAAGCTGACTAGTTTTAGCACAACAGAAAGGGATCGAAGGCACTTGGGAGGAAATCTGTAACAATTCCACAATGGAGGCAGAAGTATTAAAGGAGATTAGGGAGGTAGCATGTTCAAGTAAGTCGCATCCTGTTTGTTCCATCCTATGTGATTTAGTTTGTACATCAAGTTGCTAGACAGTGTGTGTTTCTTTTGGTTGTTCTTTCTAGGAAACCTAAGATACACAATCTATCCACACTAATAGATTTGGTCCAGCCTGGTTAAAGTTTGACCTCCATGTCTTGGCAGCCTTTCTTCTACCTTGTTAGAAGAGCCTTTAATACAATGAACCTGAGTAAAGGGTTAAAACAGAAAGGGGGGGGGGGGGTTGCAAATTTGTGTTACTGGAAAGACTTTTCAATTTTGTGAAACAAAAAAACGGCCCTTGTTATTTATAAAGCAGATAAAGGCAATCTATGTGAGGTTATGACTTACTGTTTACTATAGTGGGAGCTGTTCCACTTGTATGTAGAGGATCTTTACCAACCTCCATGACTATTCTGGATCATCACAACTCCGTTTTGAGATGTTTATCAAGATGTGCTTACATGTACCATCTTGTTCGAAATTTCATGGTAATGAGTAATCTCATCACAAAACTAATGACTAGGTTTCATCTTTTGTAGAAGTACAGACTTTATGAAAATGTATCCTGAAAATACGTCATTGCTATCTTGAGTTCCAGTTTCATTCTGCTGTACTCATTAATGAAACCTACCTAACTTTCTAAAAGAAATGGAGGATTAGATTAACATGTAGGTTGCAATTACTGAACTTCTGAATTTACATTATCCCAGTCCTGAAACAAACTGGTACAGATAATGACTCTACTGCCACCTATTGAACACATTTTCTATGACCCTTCAAATTAAACTCAGTCCAAACAGTAATGCACATCCAGATTATTAAACAGTCTGTCTTTTTTTTTTTCTCCGTTTTGGTTCTCTTACCTTTTCTTTAAGTAAAACCCGTTTACCATATGCTCTCTGATATGAGTCAGTTCATCTTACCCATACAATGCGATGAACCTTACTGCTGTGACCAACCTATATTGTCTTATATACTCAAATTGATTTATTTCAGTCCTGTTCTCCTAAAATTGCCTATAAGATGCTACTGTGTAAATCTGTGTTCTCCTTGTTAAATGAGTCTACTCACCCTTGTAACTAGAGACGTACTGTAATTTCTTTATTTTCTTTTGTATAAGCAAACCTAAAAGTTGGTGATTCTCTGTTCCTATTAAGGTGGTGTGTTGATCACCTCCAAAATGCAAAAGTCCAGTTTTTACCTATAAATTGAGATTGTCAAGCACATCAATAAATGTAACGAAAAAGCTTTGACAAATGGTTAAAAATGAAAAAAAATACATCACATTCATATTTCACAAACCCCCTTAAAAACAAGGAATGCTAGTCCACAACCCCATAAATAAATAAAACAAAAACAAGACCTTATTTCGGATATTTATTTGAACAGCAGTTGTCTTTTTCGAGTCTTGCCCGTTTCTTCAGGACAATAGAATCTAGGGGTGAACCGAAATGAAAATTCTGGTACCGAAAACAAAATGCACTTGGCCGAAACCGGAATGCGTAGATTTGAAAAATGAATGAATATATATATATATATATATAATTTTTTTTTTTTGGGGGGGGGGGGGCCCTGATTAAAAAAAAACTAATCTATACCCCAATTTTTTGTAAAATGTGAAAGAGAGGATGTTACTTGCTCTGACGTTTGTGGCAATACCTCACGTGTGTGGTTTGAACACCATTTACATATGTGGGCATGGCCTACGTATGCATTCACCACTACGTGCGATCACGGGGGGGACAGGGGCACTTCAAATTTCTTGTTTTTGTTTTTTGGGGGTGTTTTGCGCTGATCAACCGTCAGTACTTAAGGATTTATCAATTTTAAATGTATACCATAGTTTGTGGACTCTCATCCAAAGACTTGTAGCAGAATACATTTTGGCCTAAATTTGCGCGAAAAGATTATTTGGAAAATGTTATAACAAATGGAGAAAAACACTCCTTCCCCCCCCCCGCCCCACCCCCCCCCCCCCCCCCCCCCCCCCCCCCCCCCCCCCCCCCCCCCCCCCCCCCCCGGTCTTTTTTTTAATTTATAGCACAAAAAATAAACTCCGTGGTGATTAAATACCACCAAAAGATATCTATTTGTGTGAAAAAAAATATAGTGTTGTATGACCGTGCAATGGTCATTTTAAAGTGCAACAACGTTGAAAGGTGAAAATTGGCCTCGGCTGGAAAGGGGGGGTAAAAGTGCCCGGTAGGCAAGTGGTTAAAGCCAACACTCAGTCCTTCCTTTTGGCTCAAGACTTGAAACACAAACATTCCAAGGTAACTCCTTAAACCCTCTTCAAAATGAATGGACTCCTAAGAGTGAGGGGATGTCTGTTTTCTTTCTCTGTCACAGATGTCCCAGACCTGTGGGTTCAGTCTGTGGTTTTAAAGGGGTACAGAATGAAGTTCAAAACTGCTCCCTCATCATTTTTCTTGGTACACAAACATGCTCTGACCTCTAGGAGACAATCCCTGGCCTCTTCTAAACATGCCAGACAGTCTGTGGGCCCCCTGTTCCATCTTGCTTTTTAGTTACTGGCTTTAACCGCATGAATGTTGAAACCCAGGTCTTGAGAGAAAGGGGTACCTCGGATTCTGTTCCCACATTGCCTAAAGCCAAAAAGGCAACTTTCAGAAAAACATACCATCATTCCTGGAAATCATTCATTGCCTGGTGCGAACACGTGCATTTCAGACAGATTTCTCTGTACCTCGTATCGTGGTCTAAAATCAGAACTTGACCAGAATTTGGCCTTAAATACTCTGGTCTGTACCGTGTTGAATGTGTTTTTTGTTTTTTTTTGTTTTTTTTTTTTTTTTTTTTTAAATAAAACCTCTGGCCTAACTATCCCTAGTAAGGATAAAAAAAAAAAAAAAAAACCTATTTTAAGACGTTTATATGATTAGACCATCCTTAAAGCACCCTGTGCTTAATTGGAATCATAATTTTGGTTCTTTCTGCCCTTTCAACCTGTAAGGGAGTTGTTTTAGTTGGAACACGCCTACCTAAGGTGAGGTCTAAGTTTTCTCCTTAAAGCAGAACTTCACTTTTCCAACAGGTACTTGCTCAATCAGGCCATCCATAGGTTAAGAAACCCTCTTTCTGATCTCAGTCTGTCTTATGTTGCAGTGAAATTGGAACGCTTTGAAATCCCAATCAAGGTACGACTAAGCCCGGACCCTTGGACCCCTGAAACTGGGCTAGTTACAGATGCTTTTAAACTGAAGAGGAAAGAACTAAAAAATCACTATTTAACTGATATTGAACGGATGTATGGAGGGAAATAAAGCAACAAATCGACAAAGCTGCAGAGGACTTGGGGTTTGGGGTGTGTTTTGTCCTTCCATCTCCCCCCCCCCCCCTTCTTCTTTTTGTTTTTTTTTTTGTTTTTTATTTTAAAAACAAGGGAGATTTGTATTTTTGTTTAGACTGGATACAGTGTCTGTGTGAGAGAGGTTGTGACTATGCATGTTTGTGCAGTTAAAACTGAAGACATTTGTATTTATTTTGCCTGAATTGCACTTAAATGTATAACCGCTGACGCACACGTAAATTCGGAAGAATTAACTATTCATAGACAATTTATTTGAACAAACCACTTATGCACCCTACCAAACAGCCCTGTTTCAAATCATACAATCAATACCAAAACAAAACTGCATAAAGTAGAACATTTTGTATTATTTAGGGGTGTATATACACACACGCTTTTTTTTTTTCTTTTATTTGATGTGTTGCATCTGCTTCCAAAATAGTGATATACATCAAATGATAGACTTGGGCATTAATCGGTACTTTCACATTGCAGTCTGTTACATTCCTGTGAACAATCTGCATTTTTAAAAGATTTTGGCTTATTTGGTAACTACTGGTGTGATAAGTCTATTTGGTTTTCAGTAGTGTAGTCAAAATCTGATTCTAGATTGTCATGCTACTGGGACATTGTTCCATGAAAGTGTTTAGCCTTTTTTAAGTACCTTTCATGCTTGAACCCTGAGCAGTGTGTTTAGTATTTGAATGTGTACTTTTCTCTTCCACAGTACTAATACTTAAATTTGGCACAAGGCAGGAGTTGTATTTTTAACTTTTTCAACCCTTTGCTTATTTTATAAGCAAGCCTTACAACAGTAAAATTTGGAAACCTTAATTTTTTTTTTTTAATCCATTATTTAATATATGAATTCTAGTTCCTACATTCTGTTCTACCATAACAAAATTTTCTGATAAGCTGACAAAACCACGTGTGCCAACCTTGGCATGGCTGTAGCACAATCAAAACCATCCTTTGTGCAATATGGGGGAAGCAGTTATTTGTCACTTTTATAGGAAATAGTCTGGTTTTTATATACAGAATATTCTAAAATATGCTGTATATGCCATGACTGTATTCCTCTGCACATTTTTATATTCCTGCAATTATACCAAATGTGGTGCACCACCATTGTATCTTTAAAGTGTACTTTTACTCAAATTATATCATATGAAAATATGTCTGGAATGGATCAATCAAGAAAAGGCAAAATACTTAACTTTTCTTAGAGAAAAGGCTCCTTTGGTGCTGGCAACATTCTTGAAGGCCTGTTGCTGCAGAGGGACATAGTAATTCAGATTAAACCAAGATCACAATTGTCTAGGCCCTTACATGTGTAGACAACACTGATGAGAATATGGATCTGCAGGAGGGTGGTAGGTACTTCAGCCCCATCTATTGATCTTTATCCCAGAAAAGGCTGTTAAGGAAATATTTGAGTACAGGTCCACTTTAAAAGCACCTGGTTATTCAAACTAATGGCATTAGAGCAGTTATGGATAATATGCTGCTTGAATTACTAATCCTTGGCCTGCAAGCCCTGAGAATGCTGGCTCCCTTTTTGACAGCTAAGGCATTGAAGGCTGAAGTCATGCTTTATACTAATCTTGTTTAGTTGGCAATGCCAAAGAGCATCATTTTCTTTTCAAAGAGGAAAGAAAGAAAACTGAAATCATCAAATGATGTTATAAAGTCCTTTAAGTTGTACAGTTTTGTTTTTGTATGTTTATATGTATATTGCTGTATTCCATGCTCTAACACTTCAGGACTGTCCTTATATGAAATGTATTCAGTTCTGTCTAAGATGCTATTAAAATTAAATATTCCAAAGATAGGCAGGGAAGTTATGACTCCTCAGGTGTCATGAAGAGCTGAATCACTACATATGATGCATCTTTGTATATAGACTGGAATATTTGTGTTTTAAATGAAGAACATTTTTAGTCAATGGGAGCTGCTGCAGTGCTGGTTATTGGCCATCATCTTGTCAATGGATGTAACATTTCTTAATGTTTTCTATATTTAGTTCCAATGGCCTGACTCTTGATTATCATTTTGTAGTTTGTGGTTTACATGTGACATATATAAATACTGTAAACAGGGATACTCTAGCTGCAGCTCCCTAACTGCTGTCAATCTAAAACTCCCATCATGCCTTGTGTGGCTCAGCAGCAGTTTGATGGAGCCACAGTTAGTCTTCCTTTTGCTGTTAAAAAAAAAAAAAAAAGTAAGGATTTTCTATTCAGATGTGCTTTCAACTTTTTTTTTTTTTTTTTTTATAAAGACAACTGCTAATTGTGTTGAACTGCTTTGTACATTTTGTTCAGCTAGCCGCAGAACATGTTCCTTTTTAGGATCTTAAACTATTTATTAGGAAGAGTCTATTTTGAAGCGTATTTAAAATCATATGTATATTGGAGATGTACAAACAAGTCTTGTATTGTCACTGTATGAAACTGAGTTATAGCAACTTTTTTTGTACTTCTTTAAATGGGACATATATTCTGATTTGTGTTGCTGGAATATTGAGGCTGTATTTCAGTAAAATGTTTTTGTTCTGGAACAGGTTAAAAGCCAACTGTGGCTTTAGTCATGTGTATCAGTCCTCAGAACCTTGTTGGTTGAATTTGCCTTTTTGCTAATCAGCACAGGCTGCCTATCCTTTTCCCAAGGACTACCAACTGGCAGGGGCGGACTGACCATTTGGAAACTCAGGCACTACCCGAGGACCCGGGGCCAGTAGGGGGCCCCATGAGATGCCCTTGGTACCTTTTTCATAGGCTTTTTTGAGTTTGGGCAAGGACACAGGGGCCCCATGATCCCCTATTGCCCGGGGGCCCCATGAGTTGTCAATCCGCCCCTGCCAACTGGTAAGGTGTCCATACCTCAGCGGATGGTTACTGCAAATTACACATAATAACTAATCTCACCGTTATAAACAAGTGTAAACTGATTCTGTGATTACTGGAATGTCTACAATTTCATTTTGGTCACTCAAGAAACAAATTTCCGTTTCTGTTGTCTGCTATATTTATTCTGAACACTGGGTTTGGTACCAGACAAATCTGACTTCTTGTAACATCTGGTCAAGTGCATAATTCTGCTGATGTATGGGCACCTTTTTAGTATAGCATAAACACCCTGGGGCCTTAATTCCTCAGATTAAATATTTTAATACTCTATGTAGAATTATGGCTTGGTTACATGAGCAGCTGTGGGCCTGATGTATCAGAGTAGCAGTACTGAGATCTGGAGGCATTTCCCCACAGCTATTCGTCCAATTCAAACAAAGTTTAACTGTTGGTGGCTGTGAGGGGGGAAAAAACTACAGTTCCTAATAATATTGACGCTTTAGTATTTCAGTCTCTTTAGTTTCTGCATTATTGTAACTGCAGTGATCTTCATTTTGCTGCTTTAGCTTCAGAAGATGAAACTACAGACTTGTAATGAGCTTTGCACTTGCCTCTTCTGTTTTACTGGAGCTCTTTTAAGAGAAGGTCCTCAAGGTACCTTGCTGACATCAGTTATCCTGGGACTGTTCACTCAATTGTAAGCTTTTCTACTGTCAGTGGGCAAAGATCATCCTTTCCAGTAATGTTGTTGCTTCAAAGCCGGTAAGTCCTTAAAGTGCACCTGTTGTCTGCACACCATAATGCAGTCATACTGTTTGATGAACATGTTTGTATGAATGTATCTAAAGTACCAGCAGACACATTAAGCCTCTTAATTATTTTTGGGCTGCCACTGCCATGTGTGGCCACGGGTGCTCTTTACTCTGCAGAGAAAAGCAGCCGAATCAATATTCCTTCACTGAGGGATCTGCTTATAGGTTTACCACTGCCACTGAAGGGACCACTTTAACATTGAGGGGGAAAGGGGTTTTATGGATATGTAATTTTTTTGTTTTTGGACATATCACAATATTTGAGTATTTTGCTATCTGTTAATTTATTGTAATTTTTCAGATGTAAATGGTTCAGATTAAACCGCTCTGAACCCATCATAGACAAATGCATTTATAATGTTTTGAATTGTTATGGAGTTTCACTTTTTGACAGGTTTTTTTTTTGTAATGAACTTTAAAAAAAGCTGCCTTTTTGTGTGTTTATTGCATAGCGTGTATTTCTCAGGATTATTACCTCCATTGAGGATGGGGTGTATAAATGTGGATTCAGGCAAGGAGAAATAAAATGGTTACATTTCAATGCAAAGGCTTGTGTCTTTATTCATGAATGTAATAATCAAAGCCACTCATACATACACGTTTTTTGTTTTTTTTTTGTTTTTTTTTTTGTTCAGCTGAACTTTTGCAAACTTCTGAATAAACAGGTAAAATTGTTATAAAACGGGTGTAATTGTTAATTGAACCGTACAGGACACATGACTGATATTCATAGGTTATATTCTGCTACCCTCAGTCGACATTGTGCAACCTGACTCTTCTTCGTCTCGCCATGCCCTTTTTGGATGCAGAGAGACCTGCAAAACATTCCCTATTCATGAACAGAACATTCAGTCTGCTGATTGCATCACTCCTGAAAGATTTTTCACTCCCAACACACCCCCTCTTTCACCAAAATCTTTACTGAACCTGACCCAGTGAGAAAAAGCTTGCAAAGAAGTAGGCTTGTCCTGTAGTTGATCCTGTGGTTTGTCCTAAAGATCGTACTTTTCCTTTTGAAGATGTCCCTTCGTTCAGTGATTCTGCTGACAGAACATTTGAGATACTCCTAAGGCTCTTTAATTTCTCTCACTGCTGTTTCAGTCAAACTGCAGGTAACTGGACTAGGACTATGAACAACTAACATTAATTCAGAACTGTGCCGTTTCACAGGAAGTACAGCAATTGCCTTCTGCTCCATATTTCTATGTGGATGCCCTAGCCTAGAACATGTCCTGAGACAAATTTCCAGAATGGCTCTGAAATTTTCACATGCACAGAATTATATGGCTAAAAGCTTGGAGAGCTGAAGCTGC